ATCACGTGCAGACTGCATCTCCATTTTGCAGGACCAAGGTCTGACTTGTGATACAAGCTGTTTCCTGGTGGCCTTGGGCTGAGGGACCAGGGGACAGTCAGATGTGTATTAGGCCCAGCCAGAATTTCTAAGCACTGTTCTGAGAATGTGGAGATGCCATTCAACGTTCTGAGGGTTCTCCACTCATGAAGCTCTCCCCCTGGCTCTGGGTGTGGTGATACATGGGGGCAAATGGAACTGGTGGGTGGTAGAATCTGGGGAAGGACTGGCAGGCTGTTGGGGATGCAGTCACTGCATCTGCAAGGCAGGACTTTTCAGATGTCCCAGACAGACCTGTGTGGTCCATGGTGAATGAGGACACTTTGCATCCACAGAGCTGGTGCTGAGGAAGGCAAACCTCTGTGCTTTTTCTATCACCGAAAAAGGACGGATGTGGCAGGTGGCGGTAGGAGGAGGCAACCTAGTGCCCAGGAAGGAATTAGGCTATTGGCTATTTGGTGGTTGGTTCCAATAGGAACCATAAGAGTGGAGGTATATCGCTAAGGAGACTGTTACTGAGGATGGTGGGGACAGACGTTTCCATCTCTATCTCATATTGCTGACCAAGACTTCTCTTTCCTTGGTGAACAGGGGAGTTCCTATCAAGTTAGAGGAATACATCATCTGCTAGTGACTTGGTTGGGATGGCAGAGTGGAGTAAAACACCATCTGTGGATATAACATCACTGTTGCCCTCATGAACTCACTAAAGCTGTTGTTACCTGAATAAGACTTGCACAGGATGAGGGAGAGTCTCATGACACCCCACTCCTCTCCAAGGAGTTATAGCCAATGTTTGCTGGGGGAGGGGCAGTCATTTTCTTCAGTGGTGTGACCACTGTAAGGTGTCCATGCTCTAGTGAATAATTTCATCCTATGTCATAAAGGAATTAAATCCAGTGGCTCACAAGACAACCAACAAAAGAAAATGACATGAAAGTGGAGGGACTTTGGTGGGAGCAGGAACAGGATGAGAGAAGGTAATGGGGAGTGAAAATGACCAAAACACATAATCTACATCTATGAATTCGTCAAAGAAATCTAAGCTATAGCAGGGATAATTCTACCTGGCTGGTTAAGAGAAAACAAACTGGATTAACCCTCCTCCTCCACCTCCTCTTCCCTCTCCCCCCAGGGCCTCTGAGGGCAAGACTGTGGAAGTGCCTTACAAAGGGGATGTGGAGAACACAATTTTGGATATCCTCGGAGGACTGCGGTCTACGTGTACCTATGTAGGGGCTGCCAAACTCAAAGAGCTCAGCAGGAGGGCAACATTCATCCGGGTGACCCAACAGCACAACACAGTGTTTGGTTAGCCTGGGGATGCAGAGGTGCTGAGCCCAGTGGAAACCACCTGTCACCATGCTTCTCCCTTCCCCTTCTTGTGTGTCCCAGCAGGATGACTGCTCTGCATGGTGGAACACTGCCACCACCCGCTGACACTGACATTGCATCCGTGTCCTGATCTTGCACCCAGAGGCCTTGGGGCTTGCCCTGGTGCCTGTCTGGAGCCCAGAAGCAGGGTGCTCGTGAGGCCCTGGGTGAGCACCTAGAACTCATTGCCTCCTTGTTTCAACCAACCCTTGCACCCTTTCCTTCCACCGTTTTCTTTCTAAAGGATGATGGTTCCACTTTTAATAGAATGCTATGATCTTGATCAAGCGCTGGAGTTTGCATGTTCAGGAGCATAGTTGTGTAGAGTCGCTTGGGTTTGGAAAGCCTCCCCAGCCAGGTAAGTGACTCTCAGTTGCTCACACACAAGGCCCTGGCTGGGGAAGGGGTGTGGTGTGAACTTAAGTAACTCACACCGTATTACTGCCTCTGGCTTTGCTGCTGGGAAGAAAATAATGCAATGGGCAGGGTCAATGGACATGAAGCATCCTGCCTGTGTACTCCCTGAAGTCCTTTCTGGGAATAGGTCTTGTCTCCCTACCTGTTTGGAGCTGCTTGTAGCGAGCAAGCAGGTCCTGTCTTAGATTCTTGTGTAGTTTTGTCACATACACAGACCCCACCAAGCCCTTCTCCTTCCCTTCTCCGTCCCAACTTGAAGGCTAGTTCCTCTCTCTTTTAAAGACAGGATGTAGCTATTAACCCAGATTGACCTTAAATTTGGAATCCTCCTGCTTCAGCCCAGCTAGGCTGACCCCTCTTCCAAGAGGTTACAAACCATCTTGAAGTCCCACAGATGTCTTAGGAAAAGGTCATGAAGAAGTCTTGCTGAAAACCAAGTGCTTTGCAGCCTAAAGAGGCTTAAAGCAGGCATTAGAGGAAGTGCCTTGTGTTAATACTCCCTAGAAGAACTGCATAGTTCTGCAGTAGGGCGACCATTACTGGATGGTAACGGGGACTCTGTATTGGAAAAAGGCCCCACTTAGCCCTAAGAGCTGTCCTGCAGTACGTCAAAGTGCTGATGTCCACGAGGGTCAGACTGTTTTTCTAACAAGGCCCATGGCAGGCACCGGAATATGTTTTCTTTGAATAGGCAAGTGTGACAGGAGTGGGTACGGATGGGTGTTGCTGAGTGAGGGTTAGGCAATTGCCTGGTATCTATAGTACCAGATGCTGTAAGAACTAGCAACACCAGTGCATGGGGGATTGCCAACCCAATTCCAGTCTGGTATTTTAAGGCCGTATTTAAAGTTTGGGAGGTTTGCATTATGAACCAGTCTCCAACCCCTGTCCCAAGGCCAGAAGAGTTGCTCTTATACCTGTAGGAATGTGACTGGCTGCACTTGGGAGGACTGTGTGATGGATGTGTTCACTACTTTTTCTTATCACAGCGACCAAATACCTGAAAGAGGCAGCTTAAGGGAGAAAGGATTCTTCTAGCTCAGAGTTCAAGAGACACTGTCCATCATGGTGGGCAAGGAGTGACTGGCAGCTGTGGCCAGCAACACAGGCTGCTTGCTTATCCCTCTGCAAAGCAGGAAATGGACAGGTGACTACCTCCTGGTTTACCTCCATCCCCTTTATCCAGCCCAGGTCTCCAGCCCATGGGATAGTGGCCCCTACTTTCAGGCGGGGTCTTCCCTTTTCAGTTAATCCTCTCCAGAAACACCTTCACAGTCACACCTGTAAGTGTATCTCCTTGGTGACTGTAAACGTAGTCAGGCTGGCAAGATTAACCACCACAAAAGTCATTGCACAAGAGGCTTTGCAGTGCCAAGGAGATGTGGCACTTGTCCAGTGGACCCCACTTCCTCTCTGCCCATCTGTGGCAAGCGTCAGCCTCTCTGGAGCACAGGTTTCATCTTTTAGCCCTGAAGTCAGTTTAACGAGTCTAGAATAAGTTAGAACAAAAGGAAATCTTAAGTCTATTAAGGTGGCCCTGCAGCAGTAAGGAAGGTCTGTTTGGACCTGTGCCTTCCTCCAGACTCTGGTGTTGGAATGAGCTATCAGCTGTGTTTCTTAGGCCTGGCCCCCGAGTTAACATTGCAGCATGTGCCACTGTGGGGAAATTGCTCTGAAGGTGCTGTGTCATGTGTCCAGGATGGGGGCTGCTTCAGGATGGTCCTACCCTGGGGCTTTTGCTTTTCTTGCCCTGTAAGTAGCATATGCCACTCAGCTCTGTACTCTGTAAGCATCATTGCAGACTCGTGGTTTTACACATCCAAAGACAGACCCCTTGCCATCTAGTTCTAACCAGATGATGGCCTAGTTCTTGTAAAGTCCCAGATACCAGGATCATCTTGAAGCAGAGACTTCAGAAAAACAAATCAAAACAACAACAACAGAAAAACAAAACACCTACTCCCGCCCACACATTCCCTTTGCTGTACCAAGTCAATGATAGGGTGGGCCCACAGGATATACTATGTGAGTGTCCTTCAGTCCAGACAGCAAATACAACATGGACAGAGGAATCTGTTGTGGAGGGACTTCCTGTGGTGGAGGGGGAGGTATGGGGTGGCAGAGGTGGCTGCAGCTGTTAGAGCACGAGGCTGCCTGCTCACATCCCTGCAGACAGGGAGGCAGAGAGGTAGATGTTGCCATTCACCTATTAGGTGATAGACGCCGGACAGTACCTTCTTTGGAAAGGCAAACACAGCGGGAACTTGGTACCTTTGCTCTCAAACTGGTGCAATGCCTCTTTCGAGTTTCAAGGCATGCCTTGGAGTAGTGCATCAAGCTGTGTATTTCTCCTACTCAGCCTATTCACAAGCAGTCTGTCAGTATCATGTAATGGAGAGGGCAGGCAGAGGCCTTGCCCCACGACACACCAGGAAGAGTCCTTCTATAGTCTGCTCCACCAAGGCTTCCTGGTGTGATGCTCACTCCATCCCCCCAACAAAATACAGTATGTATACCCCCAAATTGTTGTTTCAGGAGCTACCTTCTACTACATGGTCTTTGCTGTCTGATTTGCTGGGATGAGTCCTAATCTGATAAGCTCAAACATACAACCAAGAGGAAAATAGAAACAAAGAGTTCCCATTCTTCCCTGGCTAAGTGGGAACTCTGAACTATTTCCCTTTCTCCCCTGTGTGAGTTCAACTTTAAGTTAGAACTACACAGGTACAGGTATGGGTGGGCACAGGGCATACCAGGGGGTTGCTGCACCTGGAGGCATGGCATGACTTTCCTAGGCAACCACAAAGTCACATCTTTCCAAAGCTGAACTCAACACCAACCTGTGCACAGTACTCTTGAGACAAACATGGAGGTGGCCCCTTGTGCCAGAAGACGTCTGCTCCACAGGTTTCTAAGAAGCACACATACTCACCAACTCCAGATCACTTACCAGTCAGAGCAAATCTGAAGAGACTGCATTGAAAAGTGACATAAGATTTGAAGTTGCCAATCACTTGAGAAGAAAAACCTAGAATGTTGAGCAGATAGGAGATGCAGATTAGGGACATCCGTGCCTCATATGACTCCCCGCCACTGAGGTGACATGGTAGAGGTGATGAAGAGGAACTCACAGTTTTCTCTGCGGACCTGACAGAAGACAAAGACACGGGTTTGCAATTGGCACTGTTATTTTATTATTAGTACGAGTATTATACAATAAACTTGTACTGGTATACAGACGATTTATTTAAAACAATTTTGTTCAAATTTTGAATCAAACATTGTTTTATTATAATAATGAAATAATTTCTACCTAGAAAACCTGCAAGCACCATCAAAGAAAGGGACCATAAAATTCAATAAACAGACTTGAGTGTATCCTACAAATAGACACACCACGATTAGAAAATAGAATATGAATTCTTCCATTTTTTAATATTTGTTTTAAAAAAGCTAGTGCAAGTACAACATTTTACACTGGAATTACAGAGAGTATGCACGCATGTGGAAAAGTTCTCCTGTCACAATAAAAGCTCTTAACTATGTATGCACTTAAAAGTTTCTTTTCAATAAGGTGCAAAAAACTTTTTTTCCCTAGTTCTCCACATGATAGTAACCTCAGCCCAAGTTTTGGTGTCTGTTTCCCCTTGGCCTGTGGGAGGCATTTGGGTGGAAATCGGAGGGTTTGGGAACCTGGTGTGAAAACCTTTACTGGTTCAGATATCAGGTTCTTTAGGGCCAAGACTCTACTGGTTAGAGATGAAGACTGTCTTATTAAAAGGCCACCACAAATACTGACAGGACTCCCCTGCAACTCCCTTTCAGTTGATACCAGCTGGGATTACACTTGAGCAGTGTGGGTCTGGGGGAGGACAGTAGTCACAGAGTAGATCAGGACTGTGGTAGGTTGTCAGGGTTACATCACTGAATCAACAGTTCATCCCACTCTTGGTCTAGAGACTAACTAAAGAGTAGGTAGCTCATGTAAGAACCGAGAGAAACCTATGCACCATCCTTCTTGGTAACTGATCTTTCAAGACAACCATTCTAAAACAGTGTCACCTCAGCTGGGTAGTCTAGGGGAACGTGTGTCATCTTGGTAAGGGTTACTGTAAACAGCACTTCCCACATAGGCCTTCAGATTGGCCATCCAGACAGCCAAGGAACAAGAAAACACGAGTGGATGGGGTCTCCAAATGATCTGCAGTGGAAGACTCAAGTCTCAAGCGTTAGGGAAGTTCTTGTGGACTGGTTTGTATAGATGCTACCTATTGGCCGAACACACTTCACGTGAATACAGGTGACACTCCTGTATGCAAGTGTCAGGCTGTAAAAAGCTGAAGCCACCATCCCCCTCCTGCCTTTGTCAAGATGAATGTCAGATACAAGAAATTGTGCAGAGGGGGAGGGGATGCAAACCCCACTTTCAGAGGCAAAGCTAGGATCTGTTTGCAGCCCCTAAACTGTCCAGTTGGAACCACCCAGCTCCGCTATTGAACAGGAGTCTAACTCTGAGAAACCGCACTGCATTTCTTCTGGCCTCTACTTGAGAAACATCCCAACAAAAACCAGGCATTCAAGTTGAAATTGATGTTTTACCCCCGTGTAAATGAGGTGTGGGGTGGGAGGCAGAAGGAAAGCTCATTTTTTTGTTTTGTCCCCACTTGAGTCCTGACTTACTGGGAAGGAGGATCCCTTATAGAAACACTTCATGTCCAGGATTATATTCTTTGGGTTTATAGGGACAGGAAGTGCTGAAAATGTCGGACATCATCCAAAGAAAAGAAGTTGCAATGGCTTAAGAAGGGAACTTGGAGAAGTACTTCCGGCCTAGGAATGGACAGTATCCTCAAATAGTGGAATACAGTTTCCCATCCTTCACACAAGAGCCGCATGTAACAAAAACAGAAACAGTAAGCATAGGTATAGTATAGTTGAAGAGCCTCTGACGTCATAATTCTTCCAGGCCATAACCATACAGATTTGATCATCAAGACGACAAATTTCTATATACAAGAAAAATAAAACCCCAAAACATGTAACTTTCAACCCTCCTCTGTTTTGTTTTTTTTTTACACACAAAATATGAAACTCATGGTTTCAACAGATCTGTCTCTTTCAAACACTGAATGAATCATCTCAACATTCATTTTTCTTTTGTGCAATTTTTTTAAAAAAATTATCTGTACTGCCCAAAATGAGTGCCTCAAAAAAAAATACCCCCCTCCCCTTGGCTGCTCAGATTAGGTGTACTTTAAAGAAAACAAAACAGAAAACTTCCCACAAGGTAAGTGCTACAAGAAAAAGCCTATCAGTAAGGTAACATTTGAAGCGAGGTCATCTATGTGAAAAGAATCTCAGCTCCAGAGTAGAGATGTGCAAACTGTTTGGAGTTGCCATAGGAACAGAAATACAGCACTGTCCACGGAAAAGGGAGGAAACCAACCCAACACAACAGGTTATATGCATGTGCTTTATAAAAAAGTAGATTCTCTATAGTTATTACTCCATTTTTCCTTAAATTCTCTATTTCAGAAATTCTGGGTTCAAAACACAACCATGGAAGCAAAGGCCTTTGCTCCACTTTAAAAAAATAACAAAGTATAATTCTCTTGCCTTTCATCTCAACCACCAAAGAAACTGGATTGGGCCCTGGAGACTGAGGCCCTGTATTCCCCTGGAGTCAAAGGGGGCTGACTAGGAAACTGGACGTGCAGAAGGTTTCCAGGAGAGAACAGACCAGTTTGTTGAGCTGCTTGTGGCTCAGGAAACAGTTGCCATGCCAACCAACCCAACTCAAAAAGTCTGGCTTTCTATCCCAAGAGCTTTGCCTCCTCACCCATGTCTGAAATAGGTGTTAGTGTCTTCAAAAGCATCTACAAAATAGGTTTCCTTAGTAGTCACAGATGTTAAAGGGCATTGCCAATTGTTTCCTTAAAAAAAAAAAGAAAAACCCAAAGCTACAACAAAAACAGATTTTGGCAACATATTTCAGTAAAGATCAAACTATGTGCAAAGAGTGGATTTTTCTGATCACTAGGAGCTACTGTTCACCTTGAACGTGCAGCATTATATATTGCAATCTGTGCAGTAGCTAAGGAGCAATCCACACGATGCAGGGAGATCCAAACATCCCTTGAAATTGTACAACCCTACTCCAGAGCAGTCCAAAGTGCTGTTGCTGAACACTTATCTGTGTTCCACACACACACCAGCCCCATCCCTGAGTAAGAGGTGCGAAAGGTTCCGCAGAGTTCCTTGCAGGGGAGAAGGAAGGATGCTGCCACTTCCTGGTGGGGGTAAGGGGGGGAAGGGACCCAACAAGCTCACCTAACAGAAAACATACAAGGTCAGGATTCAGAGTTAAGGACATTCTGTTGCCACCACCACCACCACCACCACAAAAAATCAGGCCATCCCAAACTGAGCTGGAAGAATCGAGAAAAGCAAAATGTGACCAACGTAGATGATTATCCTGCAAGTCCAAAAAAATAAAAAATGCAATTTGGATTTCCACTTTTAAAAGAGTTGAGGTACGTGGCATCCATGGCCTTCTCTCCCCAATCCCTACCCCATCCCAGCTGACCCCAAGTTGGCCCAGACAAACTGAAAATAATTCTAAAGTTAAACATTCTAAGGAACAGTCATTTTATATATTTAGAAATCCCTATAAAGAGAGGTTCTTGTTTGTTGGTTTCTTATTAGTAATATTACTATGTTTTCTTTTTGCCCTGACTAATTTCTTGGTGATTGTGTTCCATTGTAAACGCAAAAGGCCTGCTGCTATTTGTTTTAAAATGGGAAGCAGGAAAGAGGAGAATGAAAGACAGCTGTTGGTAAATATTGCAAAGAGAGCAGGTACAGAGGCGCGTGGCTGATCCTTGTACGCTGATGGCACAGTCATTACTGTGCTCCCTACACAGAAGGGTGACCGCTGCTGCTCCAGGAGCCTGGCGGGCCCCACCAGTGTCCGCAAACCAGAGGTGGCTCCTGCCTCTGTGTGCTCTTCCTATTTCAAGAGAAAGCTGTCACAAGGGAATGGTGACTGTGGTTGCCAGGTGGTCCCCTCCAAAGCCACTGGTGGGCATGCTCCGAACACACGCACATAGGCAATAAGTTGTTTGTGCTCAAAGGCAGAGATCAAAGTCTCACGCACACAGAAGAGACTGAAAAACGGGTTGACTCCTGCCCACACTGCTCCAGAGCATGTTTAGGAACCATCTGCCTCATTGCCGTATTCCAGGTGCACTAGAGTGAAGGGCTTTCGCAGAGTGCAGAGTTTGGGCCTTCGCAGAACTTCCCTCTGGTCTCCTTGGCTGGCTGGCTCTGTGTCCTGGTGATAGACACAGAGGTTCCCTACCCCAGTACTCCACATCCACAATAAGGAAAAGCAAGGAGGTTCGCCTCTCCTGGCTCCTTCTCTCCAGCCTTTTCTGGCCAGCAAGGGGAAGGAAGGTCGACCCACAGAACAGGGAAAAAGCCAAAAGGGAATGAACTTTAACTAGATAGCGTACTGTTGGCACACAAAGTATTGCACATGCTAAGAGAGTGAGAGGATGAAATGGGACAAAGGCTTTAGAAGAACCAATGATTTTTATAATTCCTATACCTGAAATAGAACCACAAAAGTTATTATATTCCTATTGCTCTGAACTGTGTGTTTACCTATTTTAGTGTCGGTTTAATGGATACAGTCCGTTCAATCCTCTAAGTTAGCCAGAAAGTGGTGTGTGTGTGTTTTCTGAGCTCCCAGGAGCTACTGTAAATAGTGCCACACAGCACCCCTGTGGCAGCCTCCTATTCTTCTCACCATCAAAGGTTAAAAAAGAAAGAAAGAAAAAAAGAAAGAAAGACCAAAAACCCAATAAGTGCCCTGAGCAGAATATATGGAAGATTAAGCAAGGTCTCTGATCAGAAACATTAAAAAAAAATCACAGCACTAAATAAGCAATGTGACTGCAAGAATGGGCCCACCCAGCTCTGCTAGCATGCTGACAGGGTAATGACATTTAGAGAGAGGCCACTATTCTGAACCTACTCAAAGGTTTTTGGTACATCCCAGAAAAAAAACAAAAACTCATTAGTCCCAATTAGAGCCACTGTGAATGAAGACCAGATAGCCAACATTTGGGTTGTATGTATGAGGGAGGAGAGGTCTCCTTTTTCTAATTTGAGAAATGGAAGAGTCCTTTTTGTTTTTGAATGGTTAAAGGAAAGTCTAATAAGTACGTATTTGTGTTAGTTGCAACCAAGTGAGAATATTTAAGAACTTCTCTCTATTTATAAAACTTGGTTTAAAGCACTTTAAGATACACTCAGAACCCACAAATGCTATTTTGATCTCTGGGAATGAAAGCTTGTGACTTTGTGAAATACCCTTTCTGGGTTTTTGTACCAAACATTAAATCATGGTTTGATTTCAAATAGAAAAAAAAAGTCATTCTGAAAAATAACATTAACACTTTTTTTCCAGAAACAAAACAAAACACTTGCTCACATGTATAAAATGTCTATATGGAAAACTCTCAGTGGATCTGAAAAAAACTCTCAGATCTGGCTTCTCACGACAGATGTGGCAGGTGACAAAATGAATCTGAAAGGAACAGAACCTTTTAAGAATGGCCTAGTGTCTAGGCAGGTTAGAAAGTAATTTTGCTACATTTATTTATGCTCATTCACCACCCCCAAACCTTTCCCACAATGTTATCAGATAAAAACTGCAGGAATATCACACAAATTATAAACTCAAGATGTGCAAATTGCAAAGTTCTTTAGGAGTTCACTCTAAAAACACTGGACAAAAACGAGTGTCTTTTCCTCCCTGTGTGTTTCTCAGTTTCTCTGCCAGGTCTGCATATGCAAAAAACTTTTTCTCCAACATCAAAGTGACAAGTGCCTGCCATAGTACTTGGTGGTCATCTATTGTCACATACTAGTTCATAAGTCACATTCATCCCTTTAAACCAGACTGGAGCTTGTGATTGCTAGCTTGTGAGCCATCCTGCAGAGCTGAAGTTAGATACAGTACTTGTCGAATGACAGACCAAGATGTTTGATTAAGAGGTCTGCATGTCATTTTTAACTGCTTAAGAGATAGTAACAGGCGTGTGTCCTCCAGATCTAATTCCTCACCGTGTCACGCTGGGATTGAGAAAAAAAGAAGCGGCACCGGAGTTGTCCATAGTCATGAACTAGAAACAGTACTATACCTGAAAGACGGAAAAGAAGCTGCGGGCTCAGCTCTGAGAGCTGCCTGGCTCTCTCAGGGGGGACCGTGCATTTTCTTCCTGGGAGCAAAAGTCAATGCAAATAACCTGATTGGTTTCCCTAGCACTGCACAGAAACCAGTGCTCCTCTGTCCCCAGCCCCACTGCCACTTGCCTGACCAGGAGTGACGTGAGCAAGGACTTCCCTGCCCACCATGACACCTGGTGACGTCACTGGGCTGGTAAGGCAGAAATGAAATTCCACGAGTGGCAGCTGCTCCTAAAAAAAAATCTCAGTGCAGTCAGACCCCATGGGAGGCTGTGTGTGTGTATGTATATATATGTTGCTTTGTACTGTAAAATATGTTGGAGAGAACCACATTCTTTGAAACTAGTTTCCCGTCTGCCATCTGATGCCTCCCTATGATGCCTTAAAGCTGGGTTCCTGAGGATGACTTTGCATGTAGGAAACCCAGGTCCCCCAATCCCATGCTGAGAGTGAGCAAGCAAGGAAGAGGGATGCAGAGAAAGAGAGACCATCACTCACCACCATGGCACCCACGCACCCCTTCATAGGGACACACCCAGACACCCTTGCAGGCCACTTCCCACTGAATTTGCCCTTAAAACCAGTGAGACCTGATGCCCCTTGGCTCTGTGCTGCTGGAGAAGGCAGGCGCTAATAAAGCCACATTCAGGGCCATCTAGGATGCCCGGGAGCTCCATGACCACCCTCTACCCGCCAGCTCCTCAACAGACACTCGCAGACAACGCAAATGCACCAGTCTCCTGCGACACACCTGTGTGACTCTAATGACAAGGTTAGAACGCAAACCTAAAGTAAGAGGATAACATGTAAATACTGTGTTATTTAGCCTACAGTACAGTAATAGGGATACAGACAGCAAAGGAGGCCCAGGCCTCCGCTGCCAGCACGGTCTCTACTTGCCCACATTAGATCGGCCTTCAATGCAGATCTTAACCTCCTGAGGAATGAGCGAAGGCTTGGGAAGAGTCAACGGTGGCTCGTCCTCCGACTTCTCCAGTTTGCGGGTTTCTGGCGCCGACCACCTCCTCTTCCGCGCGGCTGTGGGCTTGCCCGGCTCTATTTTGGTGAGGAAGGGTGCTGCAGGCAATCCTACTTTTTCTGGAAACTTCAGTTCACCATTCTCAGAGAGCACCTGGGTGCCTCCCTGGTTGATTCCGTTTTCTTGCTCAGCATATCTGTGTCTGCTGCCAGCCAGGCTGTCGGTCTTTGCGTGCTTCAGCAGGACACTGGCAGGGTCCACAGGCTGGCCCTTTTTAACAGAGCCGTTCTTCAGGTTCTTGAGGGTGAGCGAGATGCAGACGTCCCCAACCGAGAGTTTGGAACACGGCAGATCAAAGAGCTGGCTGGTTCTTTCAGGACAACAGGACGACCAGCCCTGTCCAAACACAAAAAAAGGATACTCTACCAAAACTTCAACACTGACCTGTGGAAACAGAAGCAGAGGGAAAAGGAAATATTAGCAAATGGTTCACGTGTAGTTCCTGCATGCGCCTATGCATTCGTGTGTGTGCATGTGAATGCATATATACACAGAGGCCAGAGCTCAAGCTTAGGGTGAGTTCTTCAGATGTCCACTTTTTTCCCTATTGGATGTTTTGTCTACATGGAGTTTTCTTTTTTAAATTAAGTTACATATATATATATATGTATACATATATATGTGTGTGTGATTTTATATACATATATGTGTAGTGTATATATGTGTGTGTATATATACATATCTATTCCCCATTTTCCCCTTCTAACCTCCTTCACATTCCCCAACATGCCTTCCTCCAAACTTCATGCCTTTTTTAAATATATAACCCACTAAGACTGTGCCAGCTGCAGGCCCTCCACCGGAACATGAGAACCCACCAGTGGCCACACCCTCCAGTGATTTTCCCCACCACAGCAGCCATCTGCTACCACGCTACCAACAGCATAGATGTCAAAGTTCTGAGAACGAGGGACTGAGTGATCAGCCATAAGCAGGATGTCTAGAGTAAGCCCCCCCCCCCACAAGGTTCAGGACACATCATGGAAGAGGAGGAGGAAAGAATGTGGGAGACAGAGGCTGGGAGGAATGTTGTGAAATGCTAGATTCTAGATATGATATTGTGATTGCAGCCATTACTTTTTTTTTCTTCTGAAATGGGGTCTCTCAATGGCCTGGAGCTCATCAAGTAGGTTAGGTTAGTCGGTCAGTGAACTTTGAGGAGCCTATCTCTGTCTCCCCAGTGCTGGGACTACAAGTGCTTTTTCACATGGGTCTGGGGATCACATGCAAGTCCTCACACATGCGTGGAAAGTACTACACCAATTGAGCCATCTCCCTAGTCCCCTGTGAGTGTTTTATTTAACACAGACACGGGAGGGCTGGATGAGAACAAAAAATAAGTGTTTGTTTACCAGCCTCTCACCCCTGCAGCAATACCCTGAAACAAGGGTGCTAGCTACCACAGCAGTTGAATCCGCCATCTTCAAACATGGGAAGAAGCTAACTAGACAAGTGTAAAGCTCACCTAGCATTTAAAATATTTTACTAGATACCTGCTCTGTAGAGCATCAGTTAAAACCAGTCACTGACCTACAGCCATGACAAAATGCCCACTTAGAATTCAATTGTGGGGCTCCGCAGGTGACTCAGTGGCCCAGCTGTAGTCATGCTAAATACTGGTCATACTAATGCTAATAAACTCCACGAAGAAGGTGTGTACCAGGTTGCCACTGATTCTGAGCCCTTACAAGAGGGATGAGTATAATGCTTGGAACCAATGAACTTTTAGTGTCCTAAGAATTTAAGGGTTCATCATCAATCAGGGCTGGATAACTAGGAAGGACTTTCCTAGGATCCTGAAGGTTGGGCAGCACTGGAGGGCTTTTGCAAGTGGACTATGGAGTCAGCTCAAGTGCATAGCCCAGCCACAAAGTCTGAGATTTTGATCCAGTCTCTGGATTCATTTGACCAATGAAGCATGCACTAAACTAAAGCCCAGTTTTGCGTGCTAAGGTCTCACGCTCTCTACTCCTGAGTTAATCCCACTATGCGACTTCTCAAATTACTGAGCTTTGTTTCTTTATTGGAACCATAAAACATGGAAGTATTTTTAGAAAGAAAAATCACAGTGCATGTTATTTGGAGGGAAATATCATTGCTCTGGGCTATTTTAATCATACTAAGGCTGCTAAAATTTTCTGGTCTCTCTGCAGGGGTCAGCAGTTAATGCAAGAGACTCATTAAACCAGTTAATGTGCTGAGTAGTTTCTATTGAGTGCTCAGCCGTAAATAGGACATTGATATTAACGCCCTGCCTAGACGCAGGGAACATCTGGGAAAAGGGTGGAAAGACTGTAAGAGCTGGAGGGTGGGAAGAGTGTTGTAGTACGCTGTCTTTGGAACATGACATGGCCATGGCACCTGCAGATTCACTGTAGTTATAATCACCTGCACGAAACCCAGGTAGTAAGTTCAGCTAACATTCTAATAGGCAGAACTAATTTGACTCAGTGAGTTACTAAAAGGAGGGAGATGAAGTAGGCAGGGGGGTGTGTTTAGGTTGCATCTGATCAACATTCATTCATCGTTCGCATGAATGAAAGTGACAAGGAATAAACAAAAGGTACTCTATTAATTTTTTTCTAAGTGCCTACTATTTTTCAAATGTTCCAACTTCACGAAAGTAGTTTTTAATGCTTATGTCATATTAGTGAGACCAGTAGTAGCATTTCAGCTTTCTAAATTTATAAGTAGTAAAATCATTTTCCTAATAGTATAGCTATTAGCCAATAGAATTAAGACTGAATGTAGGTTTTAGACCAGAACCTCCCCTCCACCAAACATTCCCTTTCTTCTGTATCTTCTGATCTTTACCTACATTTTGAGGAGTCGCATTACAACACGGTAAAGAGGCCAACTAACATTCCTGTTTCAACTAAGCTAGTGTGCAGTGAGCATGTCCTAACTTTGAGATGCTGTGAAAAGAGGACTCGTGCAAAGCAGAGGTCCTCACTTTCTGCGAGACAGGCATCTTCTCAGGAGCTTCTAGGCTAGACACTGACTACCCAGTTATCTGAATGTACATCCATTTGGATGCCTCATCACATCCACAGTTCCACCTCAATATGAGAGAAACAGACCTCCCGATGGTGTCTCCCTTGTCCCTTCCCCATCCCTAGTCTTCAAGTTGTTCAGTTCAAATCTCTGGAAATCACACTATCTTCCCTTCATTCTCTCATACTACCCACATCCAAATCACAGACACGTTCTACCCGTTCCTCTTCCCAAATGTCTAGACAATTTCTCATGATGTTCACCACCATAGTTTTGGCCAAGTCCAGCATGTCACCTGGAGAAAAATGTCACTAGAACAAGCCTCACAGACTCACCTGACCCCACTTTTCACTACACACAGCGCCCTTGCTTTTGTGTGTTTCTTTAACTCCGAGATACATGCGTCCTACCCAGTCTGTACACTGTACTCCCCACATTTGGGGGTCTTTTTTATTTGCTGCCTCCCCATCTCCCCAACACCTCACAAACATCCTGTTCAATATAGTGACCACTCTTCCCTGGCTCCACTCCTATAGGCATTGTACCTTCCTCAGAACACCTACATTTTAATGCACTATTTTTCTGCTTTACTCCTAGTGTCTGTCACTTATCCCCCTAAACTCACTGCTGTTCCCAGAGTCTAGGCTACTTGCTAACAGAGAGGTGGCCATCAGAAGGCACTGTTTAAGACAATGGACAAATCACTTTAAAAATTTATTGAAAAAATCACAGCTATCACAATGGTCCTTCCTCCAGGGTCTATGTCTGTCCCACTGGCAGCTTCCTGGGCTGGGCCATAGCTGTCCCTCTCAGAGTTCCTCTGCCAGCTGCTGAGCTGATCATAACTTCATGGGATTATGCTTTAATTTCCTCCCCCGTTCTTTCCCCATTTTATCAGGGATGCAAACATTTTCAATGATGGTCTTGATTAAGCTCCTAAAAACAGAAAGTCCTTTGTAGGGAATACCTCTCATTTTTAGGGAATGATCACCTCCTACCCCCTCCCACTTCTCACCATCTTCCTGCCTCACTCAGAACAAACATACCTACTTCCTACAACCCCCTAAACCGGCTCCCCTGAAGCCATCTCTTCCAGCTTTCCTTCTGGGGAAGCCAGACACGGAAGCAATGAGGCCTCACTTCTGAGTCCATATCATGTCCCACCTTCATAAAGAAGCTAAGGACTAGCTTTGAACATTACATTTAGCTCTTCTATGTGAAAAACAACATACAATTCCTGTAACGACCTTGTCAACAACTTCTGTGTCTAAACACTATGCACACAGAGAGTTATGCTGTTTGATTGCATATTTCAATCTTAGATTAGTGCTACATCTTTACAAAACACATATGGACATTTCGCCAAAAGCAGAAGGAAAACAAAATGTCTGTTATTTAAGTGTTTCTCTCCTTCCTTCTCGAGACTCCCTGCTTTCACACACGTGAAGGGCATCTGCTTTACCAAGCATTCTTCCTTCACCCCAAGTTTAACACCATCTCCTACATACAACTTCTGCCTGGAGCTAGAAGCCAGCCAGTTCCTCCAAAGCTGCCTTTTAGTCAGGAGGCCTGGGAACCCCTGACTGAACTGGGAACCCCTGATTGCCTGTGAAGTGAGATTACAGATTCTTTTTTTTAATCTGTAGGTTCTGCCTGCTCTTTTCCTCAGAGAAAGATTTGCAGGACTATGTTTCCAGCCTGAAGCAAACCAGACAACTCCACAGTGCCGATGAAGGGACAGAGAGACAGCTAGTGATTTCAGGTTTTAAAAGTCACTAATGAAAACCATCAGGCCCTTTGTGGAGTATAAGAGGATCTGGGGACATTCTATTTAAAGCACCCAGTCACATGACTTAACCTTTGGTGAAAGCATTGTGGGGTTGCTCAGAAAACCCACATCCTTGCATTGGGAAACTTTAAAACAAAGCATAAACCATAGGTCAGGTCATGGCTCCCAGAACTCTCCAATGGCAAGGCCCCATCAGGAGGCTCATTATTGGTCAAGATGGACACTGTCCAACAAGGGACAACACAGCTGATGCTGTGGCATTCTGCACTGGATGGATGATACAGTTTCTATCCCATGTGCCTTAACATTATGGGCCGGAGAGGTAGCTTAGTGACAGAGTGCTTGCTGAGTATGTATCAGATCCTCGATTCCATCTCTAGTAAAGGCAGGCAGGCAGACAGGCAGGCAGGCGACAGACAGACAGACACAGACACACACAGACACAGACACACACACACACACACACACACACACTGTGGTAACCTGTGCATATAATTCTATTGGGAAACTGCAGCAGGAAGCTCACAGCCTAGACTACACAATGATGCTGTACTTCAAAAAGCTAAACAAGCCACCAAAACAACAATAAAAAAAGATCGCT